ACACACACACACATACAACACACACACACTCACATACAACCCAACACACATGCACTCACATACAACACACACACAGGCACAGACAGCCAGATACACAGAGACACACAGACACGTTCACACACAAACACAATGACACACATACACGGACACACAGACATGCGTACAGAGACACATATAGGCAGACAGACATACACATGGATAGACAGATATGGAGTGACAACCAGATATGTACACATGCACACATATACACACTCACTGACTCACTGTTACACAGATGCAGACAGTTAGTTTCACATAGGGACACATACATGCACATACACACACACAGACACACACAGTCTCACAAACACAGCTCAGCTGAAATCACTCAGATACAATTCATGTGAATTAATTTATGATAACAATCGGATAACACTGTGAAACAAACAGCACAAAGTTTCCCAGCAAACACACCCCACCTGGAAATGCAATGTAAATATGAATGAAGAATTCAATTTGAAAATCTTCAAATCAAATTTTAGACCCAATTTCATAGTTTATGTCTTAATTTGCACTCAGTGTATTACAATCGGGACTTCACTCTAATGAAAGGGCATTGGCCTGAGATGGTAACTGTCTCTGCAGACAATGTTACATCTGCTTGTCAGGTTTTTATTTCAGATTTCCAGCATCTGCAGTATTTCGTTCCAGTTTGTTGAAAGGTAGCCACTCCAGACAGAGCAGATTGTGGTAGAAAAACAATACACAGTGAAGTCCCACCCAGAAGATGTTGCTGGGATTGGAGGGTTTGAGCTATAGGGAGAGGCTGAATAGACTGGGGGCTATTTTCCCTGAAGTGTCGGAGGATGAGGGGTGACCTTATAGAGGTTTATAAAATCATGAATGGCATAGATAGGGTGAATAGCCAAGGTCTTTTCCCCAGGGTGGGGGAGTCCAAAACTAGAGGTACAGGTTTAAGGTGAGAGGGGGAAGATTTAAAAGGGACCTCAGGGACAACTTTTTCACACAGAGGGTGGTGCGTGGATGGAATGAGCTGCCAGAGGAAGTGGTGGAGGCTGGTACAATTACAACATTTAAAAGGCATCTGGATGGGTACATGAATAGGAAGGGTTTATAGGGATATGGGCCAAATGCTGGCAAATGGCACTAGATTAATTTAGGATACCTGATCGGCACTGGACAAGCTGGACCGAAGGGTCTGTTTCTGTGCTGTACATCTCTATGACTCTAAGCTAACTGGTCAGATAATCTTTGCCTGATTGTGTTGATTGAGAGCCAATTGGCAAAGGAATCAGAGAGGCGATGAAACAAACAAACACAGAAATTACTGGAGAAACTCAGCAGGTCTGGCAGCATGTGTGGAGAGAGAGAGAGACAGAGTTAATGTTTTGGGTCCAGTGACCCTTCTTCAGAACTGAGCTGAAATTGTTTCTCTATGCATCAAGTTATGATCTGGAACACACCGCCTGAAAGGGAGAGGAAGCAAATAGGAATTTGCCGAAGGAAAGTTTGCAGGGTGAAGGGGAAAGAGCAGAGAGGAGCAGGATTCATGTGGAGCCAAACAGCTCAGTATCAACCTGATGAACCGAAGGGTCTGTTCCTGTGCTGGGATTAATATGTAACTCCAGGATGGCCAGGAGTTTTTACCAATTAATCCCTAAGGGTACCAGTTCCATTTCACAGGGCAGTCTTAAACTACTTGGACTGCAAAAAAAAACACGTAAGACTTGACACTGATTTGTAAGGTCTGAGAAATTGAGATCATGCCAAGCTATATTAAAGGAACTTTTAAATCTTTTTCCTTCTAATTATTACTAGCACAGCCTAGATATCCTTCAGCCAGAAGAAAGTGAACTAGCTGTCTCTGTATTCATCGACAAGCCCTCTGGCTTATATGGGACCTGCCTGCTCCCTCCCTCCCTCCCAGTTCCACTGCAAACAAGCAAGACAAACTTGCGTGGAAATGTCACAGATTCAGAACTTAGCTCTTCTGTTTGAAGTCCACTGTTCTAAATTTATACCTTACGCCGGTCTCTTCAAGAGAACTTTCTCCGATGTTGTCTATAGAGGAGGCAACCTTGGAACTCGGAAGAAAGAATGACATGCACTTATATAACACCTTTCAGCACCTCAGGATATCCCCACACCCATTTATGTCCAATGAATATTGACGGGAGGCAATGAGATGTTGTTTTGAAGCACAGCAATTGTTGTAATGTATCAGGCACGCAAATCAATTTGCGCACAGAAACAGCACTGTGATAATCTGTCCCGGTGATGAGGTTTAAGTGCATGTTATTGTCTAAGGCACCCAGCAGGAGACCCCCCTGTAGTCCCTGTGACAGAAGTAAAAACAAGACCTGCATTCCTCTGGCACCTCCCCTACCCTGCAGCCTCAGCATGCCCCAAGGCACTTCAAAGCCTGTGCATTGTGAAGTGTAGTCGCTGTTGTCATGTGGGCAGCCAATACGTGCACAGCAAAATCCCACTAAGGAGGGACCAGGTTAGTGTTTCAGAGATAGTAGGAACTGCAGATTTCTGAAAAAGGGTCTAGGCCCAAAACGTCAGCCTTCCTGCTCCTCTGATGCTGCTTGGCCTGCTGTGTTCATCCAGCTCTACACCTTGTTATCTAAGGGACCAGGTTGTCCATTTTCAGGTGTGGGTTGGGAGGTGAATTCCAGACCAGGACCTTGGGGGTGGGGTATCCTGCACATTTTTGTGATACTGGCCGTGGTTAATGGTTAATAACCAATAGTCTGGAATTGTGGCTCAATGATTGGTCAGATTTTATCAATAATGAAAACACTGTATCTTGACCAGTTTTTCTGTGATTTCTCAAAGTTGGCTTCTCTCGTGTACGAGCACCAAGTTTTGACAGTTCAGGATCAGCCAATTAGCTCTGATGTCAGATTCAGAAAGATCTGGAATGAGTCTAGGACCAGAATGTTCTAGAAAGTGGATGGCACGGTGGCTCAGTGGTTAGCACTGCTGCCTCTCCGCGCCAGGAACTCGCGTTCGATCCCACCCTCGGGTGACTGTCTGTGTGGAGTTTGCACATTTTCCCCGTGTCTGCGTGGGTTTCCTCCCACAGTCCAAAGCCGTGCAGCTTAGGGTGGATTGGCCGTGCTAAATTGCCCCATAGTGTGTGGGCTAGGTGGATTAACCATGGGAAATGTGGGGTTACAGGGATGGGGTGAGTCTGGATGGAATGCTCTCTCTCAAAAGGATCAGTGTGGAATTGATGGGCAGCATGGCCTGCTTCCACACTGCAGAGATTCTACGATTCTCTGAGTGATTTCACCCCAAATGATGAAGACCATTTTGACTCTGACAATGATAAAATCACTAAAAGCTCAGTCAACCCCAGCTGGAAATTGGTGTCCCACTTTCAAATGGAGCTCGCTCTCAGTATTGAATATTTCCTGTGTAGCTTGAGGTGTCATTTAAGTACAGTACAGAGGTAACTAGCCTTCCACAACATACACACTCAGCTGGAACACTGAGCCCTTCTCCAGGGAAAGATTTATTGGTTCTGGCAGCAGGCCAAACAGGGCTCATAGAGACATAGGCAGTAGGAGCAGGAGTAGGCCATCTGGCCCTTCAAGCCTGTTCTATCATTTAATCTGATCATGGACCATTATCCAGCTCAATAGTCTCTTCCTCCTTTTCCCCCAGTTCTCACTGGGCTGATCCAGGTTATAGAGGGACTGTCTTATGAAGAGGGGTTGAGCAGGTTGGGTCTGTACTCATGTAAGTTTAGAAGATTGTATGGTTACCTTGTATGAAACATACAAGATTCTTAAGGGGCTTTCCAGGGCCGATGTGAAGAGATTGTTTCTCCTTGTGGGAGAGTCTAGGACCACGGGGCATCATCTCAGAGTAAGGGGTTCCCCATTTAAGACAGATGAAGAGGAATTTCATCTCAGAGGGGAGTGAATCTGGGGAATTCTTTACTGCAGAGGGCTGTTGAGGCTGGTCATTAGGGACATTTAAGGTTAACACAGATTTTTAATCAGTGAGGGGAATCAAGGGCTATGGGATAAGGGCAGGAAAGTGGGCTTGAAGATGATCAGATCATCGAATGATCTCAGCACAGCAGACTTGATGGGCTGAATGGCCCACTCCTGCCCTGTTATGAGTGCGATGTTTTGAAAATAAGTTTTTGTTCTTGGAAGGAGTGAGAACGAAGCTTCAAATGGAGATGGGCAATGGGACAACGATCATCCAGGCATCATGGGTCACTGCCTGCAGCTTTAGACCAAGAGGGGGTCCAGGTAAAGCAGAGACGGCCAACCCCCCACCAACCCCCACCCTTCCCACCCGCCCACCTTTAAGGTGCATCAACAGGGATGAGAGAGGGTGTGCGGGAGAGAGTGTGTGTGTGTGTGTGTGAGACAGAGAGAGGACCCAGGGGAATGGCTCATCATCGTCTTGGGAGAAGCCTGGGAGTTCCCCAAAGTCAGCCCAAGGACAAAGTCAACAATACCAACGTTCCCAACACTTCAAAACCACTGCTCCCTACAGCACCCCCACCCCCAGCTCCTCCAAACTACAGAACAGCCTCTCGGGATCATTGAAGTGTTGGTATCTTATCCAGGCTGTTGTATTTCTTCAAGTAATTACCGAACGCCTTATCTCTAGACGTCTGCTTCTGAACAAACTCAAGAAATAATTAGAAAACTGCTGATGCCTGTATTGAAATAACTGCCCCCAAGTCCAACCAACCCTTAAACAAATGAAGACACTTACAATGGAGAAAGGGCAGGATGCAGGCTGCTGATGCTGGTAGAAGAGAGGATCTGGTACACCAGGCTGGTACCTGATGGGTAACTGTCCTGGGATAGAGCATCCATACGAGGGGTAAACAAGGTGAATGCTCTTTGGATCTGGTGGTGAATATGGAGGAGGCTCCCCAGTGAAGGCTCTATTGATATAGCCCAGTGTGGTCGTAGTTTGATCGCTTGTACCTTTGGGTTGAAGCATACAGTTAACTCCTCGATGGTTCCTTTCAGTGTTTTCCGTCAAGGGATTTTCATTTCTCTGAGCGTTCGGAGGCTCCTCTCGGTGTTCAGTTGAGTGGGTGAGCGCTGTCTGATCTGTAGTCTCCAATGTCCTCACCTCCGTGTTCTGATGGTCTCTCGCTGCCTCCTGATCTTGGAGTTCGCTCTCTCTCCCTGTTGTGTCGAAAAGAATCTGAGATATTAGAAACAGCAATTGGACTTGCATTTATGTAGCACCTTTCAGCATATCCCGGTGTATGGGGAAGTGAGGGGCTAGCTGTATTATCGCTAGACTAATTATCCAGAGACCTGGGTAATGTTAAGGTTCAAATCCTGCATTGGCAGATGGTGGAGTTTGAATTTAATGAAGAGACTGGAATTAAGAGTCTGGAGATAACCATGGAACTATTGCTGATCGTCAGGACAAACCTACTTGGTTCACTAATGTCCTTCTTTAGGAAGGAAACAATAGCAGAACATTTGGAGAATCATAATCAAATTAAAAGGGTCAGCACAGCTTCATGTAGAGGAAATGATGTCTGACTAATTTATTAGAGTTTCTTGAGGAAGTCTCAACTAGAGTGAATGGGGGAAACCAGTAGATGTGTTGTATTTGGAAATCCAGAAGATGTTCAACAAGGCACCTCGCAGAAGGTTAAGTCATAAGATACAAGCCCATGGCATTGGACATAGTATATTGGCATGGATAGAGAACTGGCTCAGGGGCAGGAAACAGTGAGTGGGGATAAGGGGTCATTTTTCAGATTGGTAACCTGTGACTAATGGGGTTCCAGTGATGGGATCACAACTGTTTACAATATAGATGAACAAATTGGAGGAAGGAAGTGAATTTGCAGATGACACCAGAATAGGCAGAAAGGCATGTTGTGAGAGGGATACAAAACAGCTTAGAGAGAGAACAAAAACAGAAATTGCTGTGAAAACTCAACAGGTCTGGCAGCATCTGTAGAAGGAGAAACAGAGTTAATGTTCTGGATCCAGTGACTCTGCAGTTTACAGAGAGATATTGATTAGTTAAGTAAGTGGGGAAACAAGTTGGCAAATGGAGTGTAATGTGGGAAAATGTGAAGTTGTTCATTTTGAAAGGGAAAATTAAAAAACAAGGTATTATTTAAATGGCGAAAAACAATAGAAAGCTGCAAAGCAAGGGGATTTGGGTGACTTGTACAATGAAACACAGAAAGCTAGCAGCGGCTAATCAGAACATCTTACTGTAACTGTACAAAGTGCTGGTGAGATCACATCTGGAGGACTGTGAGCAGTTTTCGCCCCCTAATTTAAGAAAATAATTTCATTGGAGGCAGTTTAGGGCAAGTTCACTAGAATGATCCATGGTGTGGTGGGTTGGGACTCTTTTCGCTAGAGTTTAGGAGAATGAGAGGTGATCTCATTGAAACATACAGGATTCTGAAGGGGCTTGACAGGGTAAATGTTGAGAGAATGTTCCCCCTCATGGGAGAGTCTCGAACCAGAGGGCATAGTCTCAGAATAAAGGGGCATCAATTTAAGACTGAGAAAAGGAGGAATTTCTTCTCTCAGAGGGTTGTGGGACTTTGGAACTCCTTGTCACAGAGAGCTGTGGGGGTAGAGACCTTGTGTATGTTTAAGGCTGAGGTGGATAGATTCTTGATCAGTCAGGAATCAAAGGTTATGCGGAAAGGGGAGGAAAGTGGATGTGAATAATGTTGGATAAGCCATGATCCTATTGAATAAGTCAGCAGGTTCAATGGGTTGAATGGCCTACTCCTGTTCCTATTTCTCATGGTCTTTTTTATTTCTTATGTGATTGACTTTCAATTGCCCTCTGGGTAACTAGGGATGCACAGTAAATGCCTAGTCAGCGATGCCTACAACCCATGGAATGGATTTAAAAAATCCCCGTCATGCTTTGCAGCCAATGTTGCATACTGTTGTGACGTTATATCTGACTTTCAATAGATTGCAACTTAATTTGAAATAGTTTCCATCTTCTAATAGACAATCTAGAAGGACAAGGGCAGCAGACATATGGGAACACCACCACCTTCATGTTCCCTCCCAGCCACTCGTCATCCTGACTTTAAAATGTATCACTGTTCCTTCAGTGTCATTGGATCAAAATCCTGGAATTCCCTCCCTAAGGGCATTGTGGGTCAACCCAACAGCACATGGACTGCAATGGTTCAAGAAGGCAGCTCCCCACCACCTTCTCAAGGGGCACCTAGGGACGTCCACATCCCACAAATAAATAGGAAAAAAAAATCAGGAACAGTTAGATTTACCGGCAATTACAGATTACCCATAAATCCAGATAATGACAGATCCCTGCCATCTTCACAAAGCAAATGTCTGGTGTGTTCTGAAATGTTATTGGTTTAATAAATGGATGGAAAATCATTGGTACCAGCACAATCAACATTAACCCTTCACCAGAGAGATTTACCTGCAGGAATTTACCCCACCATTGGTTACTGTGAAAGGTACATACCAACACACAAAATAGGGGCAAGAGCAGGCCATTCAGCCCTTCGAGTCTGTAGGGTAACCTCTGGCTCACAATATTCTGAATACAGTCTGACCAGAGCCTTATACATCCTCAGCAGTACACCTCTGGTCTGGTATTCTAGCCCTCTTGAAATGAAATGAATGTTAACATTGCATTTGCCTTCCTAACTGCCAACTGAACCTGCTTGTTAACCTTAAGAGAAACCTGAACTAGGACTCCCAAGTCTCTTTGCGCTTCAGATTTCTGAATATTAAGTTAACCAAAACGGATCCCCTCAGTCAATCACTTTGATAATAGTTCCCCATTCTCATTCCTTCTCTGGCTAACGAAATGTCTCCTTGTATGGTTGTCTCATTCTTCCTGTCACCTGTTGCATTTTTTTTGGGGGTGTGTCTGTTTGATTTCTGTTTATACTGCATTGTTGACTTGTCTGACAGTATTTTTATGTCTTGCAATGAGACCAGATTAAGTGGGAAGAAGCAGTCATGATTGGTAACCAAAACAAAAGCTGCTGGAAAAGCTCAGCAGGTCTGGCAGCATCTGTGAAGGGGAAAAAAACCAGAGCTAATGTTTCGGGTCTGGTGACCCTTCCTCAGCATGGTTGGCTGGTGCTGTTCAAAGTCCTCCGAGCCACTCACCATCCTGTCTTGGAAATATATCACCATTCCTTCAGTGTCGCTGGGTCAAAATCCTGGAATTCCCTCCCTAAGGGCAATGCACGTGGACTGCAGCATTGCAGGAAGGCAACCTCTCCCCCCACCTTCTCGAGGGTAATTAGGGATGGATGATAAATGCTGGCCCAGGCAGGGACCCCCATGTCCCGTGAATGAACACAGCCTCCCAGAGCAACACCGGATCAGACTAAGAGAAACAAGGCTGTCAGAGAATTTTATTCCAACCCTCCAAGGTCTCTGCATTTCTCCAATTCCAGCCCCTTGATCATCCCTGATTTCCATCCTTCTGCCCCGCGTGGCTTCAGTTCTTGGGATTTCCTCCTTGAAACATTCAAAAAGCCCAAAGACAGAAGCTTCTTTCACTCAGTGATTGTTTGGATCTGGAAAACGCTGAGAGCCTGGATGAGGCCAAGCCAGGGCTTTTCAAAGGACATTGAATCATTGGCTGTAGAGTTAATATTTGCAGGGCCACAAATAAAGAGGTAGAGTGTAAGATGGTGTGAACTGCTCTTGTAAAAAACATGCTGGGCCAACACAGATACGATGGGCCAAATGGGCCAACACAGATATGATGGGCCAAATGGGCCAACACAGATATGATGGGCCAAATAGGCCAACACAGATACAATGGGCCAAATGAGCCAATACAACCACATTCAGCTGAGAAAGCCAACATTGATATGTGGGCTGAATGTCCTTCATGTGTATTATGACTATTCCATATACACCTTCACCTGTGCCTCATGTTGCTACGGTGACACCAAAGTGCTCTCACAAATGATTTACATTAAAGATTAATTTACAGTATTTCATTGAACTGTATCAATGATTGCTGACTGGCACTATTGAAAACTCACAACAGACTTGGAAACCAATGGGGACTTTGGATTTCTCTACTCATTCAAACTATTCCAGCCTTAAATCTTAACACCATCCCCACAATCCTCAAAGGTGGTGGTGAGCTGCTTTCTTGTACCACTGCAGGGCAGGCAGGAAAGGTGTTAAAAGGGCCTTTATTAGCTGAGTCATTGAACCCAGAGCAAGGACATTGTGTTGGAGCTGTATAAAACACTGGAAGGGCCACTACTGGAGTACTGTGGTCAACACATTATTGGACGGATGTGATTGCACCGAGTGGATGCATAGCAGATTTCCCAGGACACTGCCTGGATTGGAGAGTCTGGGTTATGGGGAAAGATTAGAGAGACTGGGATTGTGCTCCTTAGAGCAGCAAAGGTTCAGAGGGCCACAGGCAGGGTGGATAGGAAGGCTATCTCTCCAATAACCAGGGGCTTAGATTTCAGGTAGGAGGTAGAAGGTCAGGAGGAGGGCTGAGGAGAATGTTTTTCATTCAGATGATAGTGAGAGTCTGAAACTCACTGCCTGAAAGGGTGGTTGGGTCAGAAACCCTCGTAACATTGAAGCAGTATTTAGACATTCATTTGCATTGCTATAGCCTCCAGGGCTTTGGGCCCAGAGCTGGAAAATGGAATTAGTGTGGCCAGAGATCTTTGTTGACAAAACACTGACTGGATGGGCCAAATGGCCTCCTCCTGTACTGCAGTCTATGGAGGAACAGCCCACAGCACTGTGAGGGCGGGATTTCCAGGATTTTGACTCAGCAACAGTGAAGGAACAGCGATACATTTCCAAGTCGGGATGGTGAGTGACTCGGAAGGGGAGCGCTGTTCCCATGTATCCGCTGCACTTGTCCTTCTGGATGACAGAGGTCACGGGATTTGGAAAGTATTAACAGAGGGAGATAGTTCAGGACTTGGCCTTCCTCCCAGTTAAATAAGAAAAAAAATGGTCATTTTGTGTTTGTGGTGTTAAATTGAAAGGACGCAATAATAACAGGCTGACCCAGTTCTAAGTTGATAGCTCAGTCTCATGCACTGCGAAACAGCAGACTCACAATGAATGCCATTTGCCTACCTCTAAGTAATGATATCCCTGCTATAAATTCCTCTAGTCTTTATCTCGTCCCAAGGGAAAAGCTACTGAAAGGACCCTGAATGGCTTCATAATGCTGTGAGGTACCAGATCAGTGTAAAAACCCAGTAATTAATACTTTACTGACTAAACCTGCTAATGAAAAATAAAGATGAAAAACGCTAACATGAACGCAGACACTTACAAAGTTCCAGACATCCTGCAACAAGCAAAACAACTGAAATACCTGATTCCATTCCTGTCGCCGTTTTTTTTCTCTCTGTCTCTCCCTCCCCGAACAGGTTTAAAGTTTCTTGTGACCGAAGCAAAAAGCTGCCGGTGTTGCCTGTGCGATGGGATTAATAAGTCACAGAGTTACTGTTTGCAGAGCAGTGTGCAAACAAGTTTATATATATATATATATATGTTTAAAAAAAACCCAGGGCCAGCTTCTCACAGGAGGCAGCCAAGCAGAGGGGCAGAGGGAGGGCTGGAGGCTACAGGCTGGGGAAGGTGATGTATGGTACCGGTCAGGGCTGCTGTGCCTCACCCTGGCACAAAGTCCCTCTCCACACACACACACACAAGCACGTTGAATTATTCAGAAGAGATAAGCTTGTTATCTAAACACAGAGAGTACATCCACCTTTGAGCCAATGGTTACCATTCAAAATGCACTTTTTCTTCCCCCCCGGGGTGTGATGCATTGCAAACTTTTATACCGCTTTTGCTGGGATCTATACAATTCGAATGTAAATCAATGTCGATTAATAAAGGCTCCCGATCATGAACAGAAAAGGACTCGCTTCAGGCTCCCTTGTGCACTGATAGCCACAAAAGAGTTCGTACTTGCATTTCTATAGTGTCCTTCACAACCTGGAGAGTCTGAGCTTTAAGGTGAGAGGGCAGTAGAAGTGGGAAATCTCACAAACTTTAAGAAGCGGGTGGATGATCACTCGAAATGTCATAACATTTAAGGCTTTGGGCCAAGTACTGGAAAGTGGGACTTTTCCTACATAGGTCAGTACAGCCTCAGCGGGCCGAAGGGTCTCTTCCATGCTGTATGATTCTATGACTCAGGAAATCCCAAAGTCCAAGACAGCCAATGTAGCATTTTTTTTGCTGTTTGCAAATTGACTGTTATAATGAAGGAACTAAAGCAGTCAATTTGGACACAGCAAGCTCCAGTGAAAGAACATAAATATAGTTGAAAATCAGAATGGTGTGTGTCTGGCAGGTGGTGGTAATTAGACCATAAAATGTAGGAACGGAAGGAGGCCATTTGGCCCATTGAGTTTGTTCCGTCATTTGATAAGATCATGGCTGATTTAATAATCCCCAACTCTACTTCCCTACATTGTCCCCATAATCCTCGCTTTACTTACTGTCTATCTCAGCCTCGACTATACTTAATGCCCCAGCTTCAACAGCCCTCTGCAGTAAAGAATTCTACAGATTCACTTCCCTCCGAGAGCAAAAAATTCCTCCTCATTTTTATCTTAAAAGTATGATCCCCTTATTCTGAAATTGTGCCCTCTGATCCTAGACTCTCCCACGAGGAAAACAACCTCTTGGCACTTACCCTGTCAAGTCCCCAAAGAATCTTCTTTGTTTCGATTAGGTCATCCTTCATTCTTCCAAACTGCAATGAGTATAGGCCCAATCTAATCAACATCTCCTGATTAGACAGACCCTTCATACCTGGGATCAACCCAGTGAACCTTCTCTGGATTCCCTCCAGTGCCAAATATATCTTTCCTTACATATGGGGCCCAAAAGCATTCAGTGCTCCAGCTGTGGTCTGCCATATGTAGTTTTAGAAAAACCTCCTTATTTTTATATTCCATTCCCTTGGAAATAAAGGCCAACATTCCATTTGCCTTCCCTATTGCCCGCTGACCTTGGATATTAACTTTTTGAGATTTATGTATGAGAACTCCAAGAGCCTCTGTTCTGTAGCTTTCTGCAGTCTTTTTCTATTTCAATTGTATTGAGTTCCTCCATCCTTTCTGCCAAAGTACATAATCTCAAATTTTCCGACACTATATTCCATCTGCCATGTCATCCTCACCCACTTACCTTGCCACCAATTTATTATGTGTCATCTGCAAACTTGGCGATGGTAAATTCATTTTCCTCATCCAAGTCATTTACATTGTAAGTTATTATGGTGCCAGCACTCTAATAGTTACTCCACTAGCTGCCTTGGTGAGATGTGAAACTGTGTCCTGAGGGAATTAGCTTAGGACATGAGTCATTGATATTATCACCAACTAAATATTCAGTGCAGAGATAGTAGGAACTGCAGATGCTGGAAAATCTGAGATAACAAGGTGTAGAGCTGGATGAACACAGCAGGCCAAGCAGCATCATAGGAGCAGGAAGGCTGATGTTTCGGGCCTAGACCCTTCTTCAGAAATGAAGGGTCTAGGCCCGAAACATCAGCTTTCCTGCTCCTATGATGCTGCTTGGCCTGCTGTGTTCCTCCAGCTCTACACCTTGTTATCTCAAATATTCAGTGCATGTTATTTTTCAAAAGAGCAGGAAATGGTGGGATAGCTTTGTTGGTGTGAGAGGGACAATAGCGAGAAATGTAGGCAGAGGTAAGAAACAAAAAGAGGAAGAAGACATTCTTCGGAGTAGTTAATAGGTCCCAGAACAGTCACTGTACTGTAGGATAGAGGATAAATCAACAGATGATGAGGACATATAAAAAAGCAGTACACTATTCATGGGTGACTTTAATCTTCATGTAGATTGGGAAAATCAAATTGTCAGACATAGGCAAGAGCATGAATTCATAGAGTGTAGAAGCGATTTACTAGGATGTTGCCAGGTATGGAAGGTTTGAGTTATAAACAAAGGCTGGATAGGCTGGGGTAGTAGGCACTGCAGATGCTGGAGAATCTGAGATTTTCTGAAGAAGGATCTAGGCCTGAAATGTCGACCTTCCTGTTCCTCTGATGCTGCTTGGCCTGCTATGTTCATCCAGCTCTACACCTTGTTATCTCTGGATAGGCTGGGCCTCTTTTCACTGGAGTTTAGGAGGTTGAGAGGTGACCTTATAGAAGTTTATAAAATAATGAGAGGTTAATAGTAGTCTTCTCCCTAGGATGGGGGATTTCAAGATTAGGCTGCACGTTTTTAAGGTGAGAGGAGAGAGATTCATAAAAGACATGAGGGGCAAATTTTATACACAGAGGGTGGTTCACGTGTGGAATGAACCTCCTGAGGAAGTGGTGGATGTGGGTACAATTACAACGTTTAAAAGACATTTGGATAAGTTCATGAATAGAAAAAGTTTGGAGGGATATGGGCCAGGAGCAGGCAAGTGGGACTAGTTTAGTTTGGGATTATGGTCGGCATGGACTGGATGGACCGAAGGGTCTGCTTGCACGCTGTATCACTCAATGACAGTTTCCAAGAGTAACATGCTATGGATGCAACCAGAGATCAGTCTATTTTGAATTTGATTTTGAATGTGTGATGCAGAAGCTTTAATAAATTAACTTAAGAGTGAAAGATCCCATAGGAAATAGTGACCATAATTTGGTAGAATTTAGTATTCAAGGGAATTTTCAGGCCTTTCTTTATATGGTACCAGTAAAGATGGTATTGTTGGAGGGAGTGGTGTAAACAATAGGTGCAGTTAGACCTCAGATAGAAAGACAGTGAAGCATGGATACTGGTAAGCCAAGGATGAAGAGAAGCTGATAATGGGGACCATAAGTGGTTGAAGATGGGTTGGCTGCGCTGGAGGAGGCCCACAGCAATGCCAGGGATGAGGGGATGCCTAACGACATGGAAAGTGGTGTTCGGGCCCTAAAATTATTGAACTCAAAGTTTCTCCAGTGAATTCCAGCATCTGCAGTTCTTGGTTTAATTTCCTTTCGTCCAACCAGCTAGAGGACATGTTCGTCAGTGACTCATGTCTACGTGGACTGATGTAAATGGGAGTGTGGAGATCAGGTGAAAGGTGTTAAGTAACTGCAATATACACAATCAGAGCCATTTGATGTTAATTATCAATGAATGTTCTGCACTCTGCAATTTGGTCCAAAATGCATTAGAAAATGAGCCTTTAAACTAAATGAAATGTGACAGTGTTAATGGCCTGTTGCAAAGAGCCTTAGGTCATCTTGCACCCACAGCACTTAGGGTCTTCAGGAATCTCCTGAATGGGAGCATCTCTATATTCCCATCACATCAGTTAGTGGCATTCGGGCGATGAGACAGCACATAAAGAAATAATTCACCATTCTTTGATGAACGTAAAATACCGTGGATGCTGGAAATCTGAGATTGAAAAAAAAAGTGCTGGAGAAACTCAACAGCTCTGGCAGTATCTGTGGAGCAGTAACAGAGTTAACATTTCAAGTCATTAGGCTCAGTGGTTAGCACTGCTGCCTCACAGCACCAGGGACCTGGGTTCGATTCACCCTCGGGCAACTGTCTGTGTGGAGTTTGCACATTCTCCCCGTGTCTGCGTGAGTTTCCTCCGGGTGCTCCGGTTTCCTCCCACAGTCCAAAGATGTGCAGGCGAGGTGGATTGGCCATGCTAAATTGCCCCATAGAGTTCAGGGATATGTAGATTAGGTAGGTTATAGGGGGATGGGTCTGGGTGGGATGCTCTGAGGGTCAGTGTGGCCTTATTGGGCCAAAGGGCCTGTTTCCACACTGTAGGGATTCTATGATTGGCCAGCAGCTCCATATGTTCAGGTTCCACCAACAGACCAGGAGGGTGCGCCATAGCACAGCCAGACAGGCTTAATATCCATCTGAAAATCCTTCCAATTCTCTAATGGTGAGAGGGGCAAGAGTTTCCTGTTCAGCCAGACATTTGGAGTAGCATGGCCGAACAAGCTCCCTGCATTAAAGGACTCCACACACAAGTTTGTGCTGTTTAATGCTACCATTTCTTTCATTTAGCCTAACATGATACAGTGATTGACTGAGGGTTTGTGTGCTGCAATAGTAGTGCCACCACCTCTGAGATAGGAGGCCAGATTTCAGTTCCACCTGTTCCTGAACAGTATTAATAACATCTCTGAACAGGTTGGCTAGGAAAATATCAAGAGTGACTGACTGAACAACTAGTACAATGTCTCACTTAACAGTGCAACGTAGGAATGAGAGTTGCACTGAGACCTTATGAACCCAGAGGTATGCGATCTTAGAAATTCTTTGGAAGCTTTGGAAGAATATCGGGAAAGTAGGACCAATCTGAAATGAGGAAATAAGAGGGCTAAAAGGGGTCATGAAATATCTTTAGCAAACAGGGTTAAGGAAAATCCCAAAGCCTTTTATTCGTACATAAGGAGCAAGAGGGTAACTAGAGAAAGGGTTGGCCCACTAAAGGACAAAGGAGGGAAGTTATGCGAAGAGTCAGAGAAAATGAGTGAGATTCTTAAAGAGTACTTTGCGTCGGTATTCACTGAGGAGAGGGACATGACGGATGTTG